AAAAAACGCGAACACAAAAGAGTACACGTAACAGAGCGCCATTACAGAGTGGGACGTCCTCTTTTGTTTTTTAGCGCCTTAAAATCAGTTATGAACGTACACCGTTTCCCACAACACTGAAAAAGTAGCCATACTGTGGGATAGGCAGCGCCTCGCTGACTGCCTCGCGTTACATCGGATTCTCACAGTGTGCGAAATCTGTTGCTACTGCCTTTATCGGAAGGAAATAAAATCGAGTTCGCGTTTAGAACATATATTTCAAAATTTGTGCTCCGAAGAAACATTGACGGTTCAAAGCATATCTTTACCACAGGAGAGTGATTAACCGTTCCTATAAGTCGATCGTGAACATGAAAAGAAAAGAACCATGGATCATAAATTAAACAACTTTAATAATGTCCAATAGGTCGCGCTAATTGTCCTAGTGCGAAGCGGGCCACACCTACGTTGGGACCGAAATACCTACAGCCTTTCAGCCGCTTCGCGGGCCCCATAGATTCCCCATAAGTGTCCCTCTGTAGATCCTTTCACTGTCTGCAGAGTTGCTGGACGGCTTCCGCTTTTGTGCACCAGCGTAGCCTAGGGACGTTGGCGGGGAACGAACGCTTTAGCGAGTAGCCCGTACATTTTTGACACTTTTCTCGCCTTTGCCTGGCCACATAATTTAAGTACATTTTTTTCTAAGCTACACACAACATTAGAGAAGTTAGTCGTTAACTTTAAGCGCCTTACTTTTATCGAAAAAAGCGGAAAAAGAGTTTTTCCTTACTCTGCCACAACTAAAAAAAGGTTTCTGCTTCAGCGTTAGGGAGTGATAATTGAAGTAACCGGAAGTTTATTGGGAAGCAACACGTGCTACTGCTATCGCTATGTTGACACCGACCGAAAAGGTGAATAATGTAAGACTGCCTGATTCTGCGTCCCACCTTTCTTCAGTATTTTCCTTGTCGCAGCGCAACGTGGAGTACGCCAGAGCATATGAGCGAGATCTGTGGTGATAGGTTCAACCAAATTCACGAGCCACACAAAATGAGCTTCTAATTGTGGTGTTTCTCAAGAAACAACCGCGGCGGTGTGCAAGTCGTATTCAACGAACCGACAGCGATCTCACGGGCCTATAATCGGGACAGGGCACGGCTGATCCGGCGCTTGATGTTTTCCGCGGGGCCATAAATCAAATTGTTTCCGTGAAGTAGGACAGCATTCACTACGTCATTATTCGTCATTATGCAGATACGACAGGTATACCCTCTAGACACGTGTCTTCAAGGTATCTTACGTGCACTTTGTTGACGCTGCGTTTCGGTGACGGCAATGCAGAATGATGGCTGAGCACTTTACAGTAAGTGCAAATCACACGCTCGTTGCGCAGTTGGAATTGTGTGGTCATTCTTGTTGTTTTCTGCCACGGTACATCATATAAATCAACGCGATTCCTTGCCCGATATGAGGATATTTTTGCAAGAAAGTTTGAAGGACCATTGCGCTCTGTGGTAGAATACTCTGCTGTCATGGAAAAAGCACGCGTTCAATTCCCATTATGCACTGTTTATTTTTACTTTTCATGTTTTCATGCCTGTTACTTCTTCATGTCTATCAGTTACACCACCAACGGCAATGGCGATGCCGCTAAGAGCATGAACGGGCGCCTAACAGCTGCGCTATAAAAATCAACGAACAATGTCCGCAACGATTCATTTGGCTTAATTGGCAGTTGATTTTGTAAGGAATAAACGAGCCCTTAGAACAATTATCCTCCTTTCGCACTTTCATAGCTGCGGCTTTCACCGGGCAGACGTGATGCTCGTTTTTCCGTGTTTTTACACAATATTAATGAGATCTAGCGGACAATAATGCCAAGGAAGGTATAGGGAAAGTTATTTGGCCAATCGTAATGTAAATGACAAGAAAGAAAAGTGGGTGAAAAGATAACTTGCCGTGGGCAGGATCCGAACCTGCTACCTTCGAATAACGCGTTCGATGCTCTATCACTTGAGCTACCACGACAGCCATCCCCCAGCCACTTTATTGGGTATCCATGTCAATTTAAACGTGGGAGTGTCAGTCAGCGCCACTAGTAGCCATGGCGGCGAGTGTGGCACACTCTTTATGAGCCTGTTTGGCGTCACGTAGCTCGTGAACTTATTACTAACTGGCAGCTGACCAATAGTCCCCCGTATACAACCTAGAGGCACCAAGTCTGCCAGTACGAGGCCCTCGTTAATGAATAAGGGAAACAAGTGAATACTTAAGGGCTCGTTTTTCGTGTTTTACACAATATTAATGAGATCTAACAGACAATAATACCAAGGAAGGTATAAGGGAAGTTATTTGGCCACTTGTAATGTAAATGAGAAGAAAGAAAAGTGGGTGAAAAGATAACTTGCCGTGGGCAGGATCCGAACCTGCGACCTTCGAATAACGCGTTCGATGCTCTACCACTGAGCTACCACGACAGCTATCCCCCAGCCACTTTATTGGGTATCTATGTCAATTTAAACGTGGGCTAGTTAATAAGTTAATAAGTAATATATATATATATATATATATATATATATATATATATATATATATATATATATATATATATATATATATATATGCCCAGCTCTCCCCAACAACAACGCCACCAAAAAGGAAAGAGAGAATGTGAGATACTAAAGAAAACTCGTATATTAAAAGAAGTATGCATATATAAACGATATTAACGATATGCATATATAAACAAAAAAAACTTTATATCACAAAACATAACATTTTATAGCACAGCATGCTCAGCATGCTGCTTGTCGGGTGCTTATAGAATTGATATGTATATAGCCCGGGCTGTCAAGATAAACATGTAAAAGACTTAACAGGGTCTACAGGGCGTGGCACAGTATTACAGCACCAAAATGCTGCCGCGTCAACATATTGCCGTTCTTGCGACGACACAATGGCACCCGCTGCCGGCTAATAAAAGAAATGCGTTGCAACCACACAAAAAGTGCATGATAATAATACAGCAGACAATCGTCCTTGTCAGTAATTGAAAACACAGAGGTGTCGTTGTACTTATACAGGCGTGAACATAAGTGTGCAGAACGCGGGATCGCCAGGCCGAAGGCATCGACACGCTATCTATAGTGACGAGACGCCTGCTGTGGTGCGCATGCGCGTCCCGTCGCATCGGTTGGCCTTTCATGTCGCTCTCTCCGACGAGCTGGTAGCCAAAACGACACATGGGTGCCACTGTCTTTACTCCATCGAATTTGTGCCGGTTTTGTTTTCAACGTAGAGGCTGCGACGGTGTCGGGTCCAGCACCGGTATCACGTAGTTATTTATGCCGGTTGATTGATAACTAACCGTATAGCCAGCCTCGCAAAACCTGATGAAGCCAAGCACACAAAATTAGATTTTCTCAGCTCAGCTTGCCTTTGTCGCGTTAGGCCAAGTTGAGCTTAAATGAGCCTAGTTAAGTGAATGTAAGTGTAACCAAATCTAATCCAGCCTAGTTGAGCGCAGTATCACCTGATGAATTCGGTAGTAAGTAAGCTTCAGCCCAGTCCAGGTTGCTGTTTTTACGTTAAGCGTAGTAAAACTTCGATGCGCATAGATGGGTCGAGAAAACTACATGTACAAGTCAAATCTAATTATGTATAGTTGATCATGCTATCATTTTATTTAGCCGAACAAAGTTAGCCCAAATAAGGCAGATTTTATCGCGGTTAATTAATCCAAGTCGATTTCTCCCATGAGCCTCGAGGCGCCGAACCCTAGAAGATACTAAATACTCCTGACACTATGTCATTCAAGCTCATTTATGCCTCATTAGTGTAAATTAAGAAGCGTACCAGTTAAGATTGGTTGATTAGTTTAATATTCAATCACACACGAAACATACTGCAGTTTCATGTGGCATAATTAGGCTAAATATGAATAACTAAGCTAATGAGGTAGCGCAAAGATAAGCATAGAAAAATCTGGCAGAGTGTGGTTGAGTATAGCGCCATATAACTAGTCTAATTAGAATTAGGTGTAATTAAACAAGTTATAGTAAAACACAATTAAGGTAATTGAAGTAGAATTTTATGACCTCAGAGTGTCCTAGCAGAAGACGATACTAATTACTAATCACCGAACCTAGTCTCATTAATCTAATTATGTCTAATTAGTCATAAAACTAATTTTTAGTGCGTATTCATGCTTATTGCGCTTGTTTCATCCTAACTAGCCTCGTTTAGGTTCAACTTAGCCTAACGCTGCACAGGCAAGCTGAGCTAAGAAAACTTAACTTTGTGTGCTTGGCTTCGTCAGGTTTTGGGAGGCTGGCTACGCTTGTGATCCTAGTAAACCGGTATAAACCACGACACGAGCCAGGCGCCGGAACCGGCGCCGTTGCAGCCGCTATGTAAAAAAAAAAAGAAAAATAAAGGCACCAATTTGTTGGAGCAAGGACAGCAACACCCAGTCGTTTTGGCAACGAGCGCGTCGGAGAGAGCGACACGAGAGGCCAACTGATACGACAGAACGCACATGCACACCGCAGCAGGCGTCTCGTCGCCAGATGGCGCGTCGATGAATTTGGCCACGCGATCTCGTGATCTGCACACTCATGCTCACGCCTGTATATACATTGATATATCTGTGTATACATACTACATTAACTATATATACTTGTATAAATATACATAAATGTGTAAATGTGCAACATAGTTGCGAGTCAAAGATGGTAAAAGTTTTTGAGTAAAAATAGAAATACGCCTTTTGTTCGCATAGCTATCTGCGCCGACTGGTGGCGGAAGTAGTGCTAATAAAACACTAAAATGTATATAATTAAGCTGAGCCGCATCCAAATAACGCTCCGCAGACGGAGTAAACAAGACAGCAGGCTCCTCACATACACACTTCCGACACCAGCCGTTGTCAAGCGGTGGCTCATAGAAAGAGCAATATAAATATAAATAAAAAATAAACAAAAACATGCATCCCCCTGCAGTCGCGTGCGCGAGAGGGTTCGTCAGGTGCGCGGTTGTCCAAAGTCCGCCTGAAACGAGAACACAAGGGGCCAAGCAATGAGAACTTAGAACGTTGCTTTTCACACACACAATATATATATATATATATATATATATATATATATATATATATATATATATATATATATATATATGCTGCATTAACATCGCCTGTTCCATTTGTTTGTATAATGACCACAGTGACTCATTAAGTTTTGTTTTGTGATTTCAGTATTTCAGTGTGTGCTGGACAGGTGCGTATGATATTTGTTTTGTCACGTATGATGTCACCCTACTCTCTCGTGTTTCTATTTCTCGGTTTAATTATTGTTTTACTTATTTACACGATGCGACACGGCTTAATATTCATCGATGGTTTCAGTTACAGCACTTATCTTGTCACTCGAGGTGGCATGTCTAAATATATCGTCGCTGATGTTTGTTTTGAGACTTCTGACGTTTTTGGTGCGTTATCAGCGGCCTTTAAAAGCGGCACATGCCTTGTGTACTTTTATCGCACAACCGCCAAGTTCGACCCGGCTAGTCTGGTAGCACCAGCTCGGTCCGTTTTGGTCCCGTCAGGCCGAACGTCCTGCGCTGCTCGGTTCGCCAGCCACTCTGGCTTCAACCGTCCCCGTTCGCCCACTCAAGCGTTTCGCGTTCTCTCGATCTCTTGTTTGTTTGTTTGTTTGTTTGTTTGTTGCCCGTAAGCACTCTGGTCTGGGGGATTGGCCATGAAAGCTTGTAGTAGCCTATATGTGAACACTTGCTTTGCGCACACTCCGTCGTCTTCTTCGGTTCTACTTTTGGCTGCGGGTAACTCTTACCTTAAAACAAAATCTACTTTTCGGAACCTTCGTGCAGGTGTTACTGACACACTGTACTATGCAACATTTTATATATAAACCATATTTTTACTTAGACCACTACATAGCAAAATCTGAGCCTCAACAAGAGTCAAAACGCTGTTTTTGCCTTTGTCACTGTCATGTTTTGGCAATGCTTTTTCTTCAATCGCTTCTGAAGTATTTCAATCATTCAATATAGAAACATGTAAAACAGAAAATGTAAATATATCACAGGTGAAAAAAAGTTGCTTTTTATAACTTATGAAAAGCACATTTTTTTAGAACTTACAAAAAGTACAAAACTCCACAAAAAGTACAAAACTCCAAACATGCAGCATATTGCCATTTTTTTGCCAAGGCGACAAAGAAAGTTCAAACAAAAATTAATTACTACCGTAGTCATGAAAGAGTAGACCCTTTAGATTAAGGCGAAATTGCTTCGTGATAATTGCTCAAACCAGTAGTAATATTTAAGATATTTAGCGCGACATGACACACTTTCACTTGGACGGACGGACGGACGGACGCACGGATGGATGGATGAATGGATGGATGGATGGATGGATGGATGGATGGATGGATGGATGGATGGATGGATGGATGGATGGATGGATGGATGGATGGATGGATTTGGCAGTGCCCTTTAGATCCCTTAATGGTGGACTCCCACGAGGGAACGGAGGAGGAATTTTCGCAGCGTACGGCGTGTCACGTGACGTGCGCGTCATCGAAACGCGCCGTTCTCGCTCTCCTGCGATCGCGGCACGGATGGAAACGTGTCGCCGCTATTCGATCCATTTGACGGATCTCCATTTGACGGTCGTCTGCTCTCGATCGAGAGAATTCAGCGTCAAATCTGTCTACATTGGCCGAATTGGCGCGGCTAGGAAGCAGGCAGCCGGCTTAAAAGCCACGCGTTTTATACTGGGCGACAACTTTTCTTGGCACTGCAGGCAAAGCTATGGAGGCGGAGCTTCTGCACATGAAGCACAACGCGAAGTAGGCCATTTTGGCGTGCGTGTCGTAACGCTGCGGAAAGTTAAGCGTCTCATGTAGACGCAGACGCCACTTAGTGATTGAGGTGCACGTAAAAAAGCAGGACTTTCTCACGCGTTCAAAAACGCGATGTCAAAGCAGATAAATTAAAAAATATATACTAATATCTTACTGGCGTCAGCTGTGTCCAGTCTCAAATATCTCCACGTAGAAAATAAAGGCAGAACAAGCGCGCTGCATAAGCATTGGAGTCGAGAGTATGCACGGGAATTCCGCGAACGTAGCTCCGGCTGTGTGGATGCGACGTCTCCGCTGCTGCGCTGGATCGGAGTAATGACCTGACTATTCGGTCCACGGAGCAGCGGTATTTCACCCTCGCGTGTGAATCTAGCTTTAGAGGCATAAAGTCAAGTACTATCAATATGTGTTGAAGGATTGAATTTCACTCGCACTTCGATTGTAGCAACCAGTCAGTTAACCTCCTCCTGGTTATTTCTACCTGTTTTATGTCTACTATGCCTCCACTGTCTCTAAACCCCAATGCTTCGAAAATTTTGGCGCCATTACCTTCGACTATAGGGTGGAGGCCTTTACAGAACATTATCAAATGTTCAGCCGTTTCATCCTCCTTTCCACACGCACTACATAACGTGTCTGTGCCTTCGTATATGGCTCGGTACGTCTTGGTCTCCCGTCCTGGCCTCGAACAGCAGAAGGCTACCCCGATAATTATCGTAGATCTTTTCTTTTGCAATTTCTTGCTTTAAAGTTCGGTAGATCTCAAGCGATGATCTCTTAAGCATTCCAATTTTCCACATGTCCCTCTCTGTTTTCTTCACCTTCTTAACCAATGTTTTTCTTTTAGGCTTGGTATTCTGCTGTTGTCTAAATACTTGCTTGACAATTTTCGAGTTCGCTTCCTCCATTTAGTATCAACATTCTTCATGTACAATTAGCTGAAGACTCACCTAGCCAAACGCTCCTGTCCCATTTTTGTCAATCTTTGGGTGCCTAAAGTTTGAAGTGCCCTGCAACACAACGAATTTTGCGAATTATTACGCTTCAATAACTACTTCTCACATTCACATATGCCTGCATGATTTTTTTTCAGCATAATCAGATATGGTCGAAAATTGACCGGGTGCACCTTGATATAGAATGACCCATATACGAGAAATATATATATATATATATATATATATATATATATATATATATATATATATATATATATATATATATATATATATATATAGAGAGAGAGAGAGAGAGAGAGAGAGAGAGAGAGAGAGAGAGAGAGCATTCATGGCATTATTTGAAGAAAGAGGCAACGATTTCTGGCAGACATTGAGAATCAGTTGTAAATAGTCCAGGCCGTGTGTTGCTCAGGAACCGAAATCTATCACAGCGCCTTTTTAGATAATGGGCTACGCTAATCGCTTTCCGTGTGTGCGCAGTCAAAAAACATCACTACACTGCCAAGCAAATTTCACACTGTACACAGTAGAGTTATCCCAAAGAAAAAAGGTCACCGGCAAAGTTTAAGAGGATATAACTAACATTAACCTTTTCTATTATGATAGCCACGCGGCCCTAATCATGAGTACACTTTTTTTTATTTTGAACCCAGTATTCGCTGTACTTTCATATCAGATTCGATATCACAATATGACATAGCATACGTTTACTGACGGGACGCGCGAAGACAAATATCAATGCGCAAATAATTGCCGATTTTGGTGTGATCAGATATAAATTTTCGAGTGCCTTGCACAGTTTTACAGGGTGAATGGAACATAGTTGCGCGTAAGTATACGCATCAAAGATTTTGCCCCATATGTCATCACAATCAAAGGCGTGCGCTAAGAGGGGGGGAAGGGGTGCAGGAGGTTTGTATAGAGTATAGTCAGGCGGCAACTCACGTAACTTTGAGCTATATATATAACCGTGAATGACCGCAGTCCCCACGCTCACCCTTCATGCACTTACTTGTAAGAGAAAAGGTGCTCAGGTCGAAGCGCCGATTCCGTGCGTCATCTCGCACAGCGAGTTGTACGCGCTGAAAGTGTAGCCCCTTCTAATAAATCACTCATGATTTACGCTGAAGCCGGACCTGAAAAAAAATACATTTATATATTTATTTGCTGCATACTGCCAGTCCTATAAGAACGACAGTCAAAACAATAGGAAAAACAACGCTTATAAAAAGAATACGCCCATAGGTATGTCTACTGACCTTACACGACATTTACTTAGTGCAGCGCCTCCTCTAGGCGCTGCTTGCTGTTGTATGGTGAAAACGTTATAGACAGACACACAACACGTAATTGTAACCCGCAATGCAAGGAAATGGCCTGCATGGAACGCTCACCGGCTTATCTCACTTACGCGGCCCGCGCCTCACAAGAACAGTTGATGTAGAAGCGCGGGCGCGGGGTATAGAGGGCGCGTCGCATGTGCTCTGAGAGCCCTGTGCTTTCGCCGTGCTGTCTGAACGCCTATGTTAAGAAGCGCAGACCGCTGGGCGAGTTCGTTATTCATCTTAGAACTGAGTTGCGCAAAAACATTGAAGTACCAAAGGAAGACACCTGGACACAGCACGGTGTCCTGGTGTCTTCCTTTTGTACCTCGATTTTTTTCGCACAACTCAGTTAGGATAGTTTGTTAACTCTTGTGAGTATGTAAATTATCTTAGACATGTGTTATTTTCGTAAGCAAGAACACTCGCATGTGTTCTTTATCGGCGCTTGAGTGGCAGCCTGTATAACCCCTCCTCGTTCACATCAACGTAACAGCCATATCCAGTCAAGTACACAAGAATCGTACTTTGTCCTCTGTAAAATATCCCAAGGATATAAACCCTCCGAGTAGTGTTTGTTGTACACAATAATCGTACTTTGTCCTTTGTAAAATATTTTAAGGATATAACCCTTCCCGGCCAGAAGTGTTTGTTGTGTATTGTCGTACAATTCTCGTGTCCCCTTGTGTGTGACGTCCAAGCGGAAATAATTTTTTAAAGGAAGATAATGTACTCTGATCGCCTACTCGAATAATCTTTGAAACAATTTGTGTTGAAACTGGATTTAAGCTGTTTTATAAACAAGTCGGAAAAGCATTTTTCGCAGGCAAGCTCACGACGTATAACATAGTTAACCTGTACATTCCGTCTTAGTTCCAAGATACCCGAGCTAGTTACTTGCGTCTCATCGATGGCGTAATTAATTTTTACTGTGTTCTTGACGTATTGTTCTTAATAAGGCTGACATTTTTCTATATATTTAAAGTTATCTTGTGCGCGTTTGCATTTCCATCAGCAGCAGCAGCAGCAGCAGCCGCGTGCATATACCAGCCATTCCGACACTGAAAGCGATTGTTGTACCTAATATGATTGGACGGAGAATTAACTTCTTTATAAGCTTGCAAATCATTCATAATAATCGGCGAATCCTTTATGCCAGTTCTCATGTATTGAGGTTGATCGTTAACAAAAAATTAGGAATCAAAGTAGAGGTGCCTCTGAAGTAACTTCAGCTACCGCCGGTGTTACGCTATACAGGTTTTCCGATACAGAGTAAGTTGCCCGAACTAGTGACCCTGGATAATCCTATGCAGGTATATTAGCAAGAATATAGGTCCGCGAAACTCAATGGCTCAAGTTTTAATTATGCGCACGGCGTTCTTTGCCTGCTGCCACAAATTCAGAGGCGCTTGGCACTTTGGGGGCACGGTATAGCAAACGAATGATCTCAGCACCACGCTAGTTTGCGTTCGCACGCAATTCCCAAAACTAGTGAAGGGCGGAACGAACCTGCGACGGCCGGCGCACAGCATCGGCTGCCATCGTCCTTAGCACCCATGGATGATCCAGGAGCTCGGCAGCCCTCAACCTCTGCTTTGGGTTCGACTGCAGCAGCTGGCGAATGACGCATTTCGCCTCCTCCGACACGCGTTCCCAGCCCTGTGCAAGAGAGAGGAGTGACTTGGGCGGATTTCGAACAACGGTAACGCAATTGAAACTGCAATTCAGCAATAAAAAAAGAACGAAGGAAGATAGTTTTTTACGCGACTAACTCCCTTCAGAGCTTGAAGATACGATTGATGCGGCTGCGTAAGAACCTGTACCTTACAGAAATTTAGCTCAACGGGAACGTTCTCAGCCACATTGAGCAAAAATCAGACTAAAGCTCTAACTATGGTTCATAGAAACACACACGAATCGACTTCCAAGCCTGTAAACGCCGTGCGCCTCCAGTACCTACTACGTATAGCACATGAATATTCATGCTACACAAAATAAAGTTTTCAAACCGTGGGGGGCGGGAGGAAATAACTTTATTAAAGAAAAAAAAACGGCAAGATGTGGAAGAATTGTCTCCTTCCCCTAGGTGGCAGCCATGAGTCCTTGAGCTCTGGCGGCATCCTCTGCTTGCCGAAGGACGTCGAGTTGCACTTCTGGGTCTACGCTTAGCAGTGCGGTCTATGCTCTCCATTGCTGTATTTTTTTATAGTGCCCTGTAACTGAGGGGCAAGCCCACATTATATGATTGAGATCTGCCCTTTAATTGCAGAACTTACACAAATCTGAGTATATCTCTGGGTAGATGTAGTGAAAAGTTACCGGTTTCGGGAACGTGTTGGTTTGTAAGGGGCGCCATGCCGTCGCCTGCTTCTCGTTGAGCGAGGTTTGTGCCGGGGGCAATCGGACCCTTTCTAGCCTGCAGTGTTTTGTGATATCTTCCTAACTAATTATGCGGTCCCTCTCCACAACCGGACTTCGCGCTGCGCCTGTTCGGCCGGCCAGTTCTCGAGCCAGGTCGTGCGCGATTTCGTTTCCGGGGTGGGAGGAATGAGCAGGTGCCCATACAATATGACCTACCCGCTCGTCGCAAAAGTTTGCCAGGATTCTTAGCGCTTCCGGTGAGATCCTTCCATTTACATAATTTTTAACAGCGGTTTTGGAATCGCTGATCACAACTTCGGCTTTTGTGGAGGCTAGTGCTAGTGCTATAGCCTCCTCCTCCGCCACGTCTGCCCTATATCTGTACGTACACTGCCACTGACGTTGGAATCCATTTGAATATTTGTAGCTACGATTACCATGCTTCGGCCATTCTCGTATTTTGCTGCATAGACCACGTCCCGGGCGTTGGCAAACTTTTTATGTAGGCTTTTCGCCCTTTCTATTCTTCTAGGGCGGCGACGCTCAGGATGCATATTTCTAGGTAATGGAGGCACCACGATATGCCCCCTTGTCTCCCACGTAATGCCCTTTTTTACCCCATGTTCCACGTTGTACGTGACGCCAATCGTGTCCAAAATATGCCTGCTCGTAGGGCTCTGGGTTAACCGATCTTACTGTGCTATCGTGTGGGCCTTTATTAGCTCTGCGAGCGTGTTATGTAGCCCTAGAGCCAAGAACTTGTCATTCGACGCATTTAACGGGATACCTATTGCTTGTTTATCTGCTTTACTAATGATGCAATCTATTTTTCTCCGTTCGGCTGCGTGTAATTTAAGATATGGGGCAACGTACACTATGCGGCTGACTACAAAAGCCTGGACTAAACGAACTAAGTTGTGTTACTTCATACCATAGTTTTTGTTGGCTATTCATTTGATCAGCCTGCTTGTCTGGTGGACGCTGTTCTCTAATAGCCTAATAGTTTCTCCATTGTGTCCATTCTCAGATATACGGAGGCCGAGAATTCGTAGGTTCGCTACCATGGGTATTTTACTTCCCCCTACAAAAATCGTGATGTCTGGCTTTTCCTGTATGCTTTTGCGTCCCCTACATGTGGGCCTATAAATGAGCAATTTCGATTTTTCGGGAGAACTTTTTAGCCCATCACCTTCTACATATCTCTCTACAGTGTCAACAGCTGTCAACAGCTTCTTGTAATATGTTTTCGATGCCTCCGTCACTCTCACCCGTCACCCAGAGGGTGATGTCGTCTGCGTATATGCTATGTCTGAGGCCCTCAATTTTGTCAAGTTTTGCGGGTAGGCCAATCATCGCCACATTAAATAACAGGGGAGACAGCACCGAACCCTGTGGCGTCCCCCTTCTGCCCAATTCAATCTCTTCAGACCTTGCCTCTCCGACCACAATTCTTGCAGTGCGGTCGGATAGGAAGTCTCTCACATATGCGTAGGTGCGCTGTCCTATCATCCAGTCCCTGAAGATTCTCTAATAGGGCTCTGTGTGTGATAATATCGAAGGCCTTAGTGAGATCAAGGCCAAGGATAGCCTTAGAGTCTAAAGATCTGGTCCCCACGTCGAGTATTTGATGCTTAATCTGTAACATGATGTCCTCTGTTGATAGTTTAGATCTGAAACCGATCATGGTATGTGGGAAGGGTCCGTTCTCCTCTATGTAGATTAAGAGCACCATGTCAAGAGTCGGTAACTGTTGGTCTCTCTATTGAACAGGGGGGGGGGGGGGGACACTTTTCTCTTTTTTTTTTTTTTTGAGGTCGAACGAGAAACACTGTTTTGGAGAAACAGACCAGACTGGTCAACTAAGTTCTTTGCTACAGTTAATGTCACTAATTTTGCTACCAGTAAAAGTAGACTGCGATAGGGTCATCAACATCATAATCATCATTATGAGCCTGGTTACGTCCCCAGCAGGACAAAAGCCTCTCGCATGTCCCGCCAGTCAACTCGGTCCTGTGCTTTTCGCTGCCACTTTATACCCGCTTTATCCCCGCTAACTTCCTAATGTCATATGCCCCCCAAGCTTTTTTTCTCCCCATAACCCACTTGCCTTCTCTGAGAATAAAGTCAGTTAACCTTAATGACCACCGATTATCCTACCTACGTGCTACGTATCCGGCCCATGTCCATTTCTTTTTCTTGATTTTAACTATGATATATCCTTAACCCCAATTTCTTCCCTGATCCACTCTGCTCCTTTCTTGTCTCCTAGGGTTACACCTACCATTTTCCTTTCCATCGCTCGCTGCATCGTCCTCTATTTAAGTTGAACTCTCTTTGTAAACCTCCAGGTTTCTGCTTCGTAGGTAAGCACCGGCAAGATGCAGCTGTTATATGCCTTCCTCCTGAGGGAGAGTGGCAATCTACAAGTCATGATTTGAGAGTGCTTGCCGAATGTGCTCCACCCCAATCTTATTCTTCTAGTTACTTCAACCTCGTGGTTCGGCTCCGCGGTTATTACCTGTCCTGAGTAGACGTAGTCTTTTACAACTTGAAGTGCACTATTACCTATCTCGAAGCGCTGCTCTCTTCCGAGGTTGTTGTACATTACTTTCGTTTTCTGCAGATTAATTTTAAAACCTACCTTTCTGCTCTCCTTGTCTAATTTAGTAATCATGGGTTGCAATTCGTCCGCCGAGTTACTCAGCAATGCAATGTCATCCGCGAACAGCAGGTTACTAAAGTACTCTCCATTAACTCTTATCTCTAACCTTTCCCATTCTTGGCAACTGAAAACCTTCTGTAAGCATGCGGTAAATAGCATTGGGGAGATTGTATCCCCCAGACTTACCCCATTCTTGATTGGTATTTTGTCTCTTTCTTCATGGAGAACTATGGTAGCAGTTGATTCTTTGTAGATTTCTTCCAGGATGTTTATATATGCTTTGTCGATGCCCTGATTCCACGGTGTCTGCATGACTGCTAATATTTCTACTGAATCAAATGCCTTCTCGTATTCTATGAAAGATGCGATAGGGTAACGATCATATTCCGACATATCGGTGAACTTGTACGTACGTCCCATCAGCATAGCGTGCGCAGAGATTGGGGGGGGGGGGGGGGCGCTCTATTGTATTAACCTAAGGAGGTGTCATGTCTGATACTCAGATTTTTGGTAATAATGGAGGCCGAGGGCCCCTTTATGTTTGCATTCCAAGAACTGCCTACCTCCAACTTTCTTTCCCCGAAAGCCGGATGCGACGGCAGGCTGTTGTGAAACACAGGTCGTCTCTTCATTTGGCTTTGCATCCCTTCCAAGCTTGATTTGTGTCAGACTGTACCGACTAGAGATACGGGAGATTGGGGGGGCGGGGGGGGGCGAAACTTGGTTCCCCTGATGAAGAACCCAGCACATGCCAATGGCATAACTTCATCGTCTAGGAACTCGGATAGCCACAGGCGGGCGGATTTCCCCACAGTGACCTCCCCCCCCCCCCCACCCCACCTTTTCCATCCTTCAATGAAAAAGTCCGAAAAAAAATAAGGTTCTTCGAATAAAGGGTGCGAAAATAAAATTAAGCACTGCCGTGCTGGTCACAACCACCTGCCTTCGGTCCCAGGATATCAGAAGTCATCGGCTGGTATTATCGTCGAAAGTTTGCATGGTCATCATAACCCTGCACATTAGACAATGACGGGACAGCTCCGACAGAGTATACAATTAAGGTTGACTTGGCGAGGGGGGAGAAAGCAACCTCCTTGCTTCCCTCCTCCTCCATGCGCACGCCTATGAGGTTAGCTATGTGAATTTCGGCACATTTACAATAGTCTTACGAACGCTTCTATAAAGCCAGACTGGATACAATTAAAAGCGGAAACTCGTGTATTTCCTGAATAACCTAAAAAATCCCACTACACTACGCCCACCCCTTAATTGTTTTTTTTTTCGTTTGGTGAAATATCGGGAAGAGCTTTAAAATTAATATGCAATTCCACGGTGGAGAAAGTGTCTCAAGGAATGACCGTGCAAGGAACGAAGGCAAACAAGGCAGCGTCCACGCACTGTTTCACTGGTAAGTTGTCCTTGGAGGAGACTCGTTAAGAAAATCAGGCTGGTTAAGCGCAGCCAGGAAATCATCTATGGCATGATGACGATGTGACGTATACTGACCCAAGGGGCAAAACTGGCCAAAGAAAACAAGGACTGTGGTAATAAGTTTACAGTTGAGTCATGAAGTTATGTGTAAATGTGACGTGTTGTAAATGGCTCTCAAAACAGTCGCTGTAAGGTGCGTGAAAAT